TCGTCGTAGTTATTATTATAGTAGTATATATATATATATATATATATATATATATATATAATACGTATGTATATATGTATAATATTTATACGATCATCTACGTAGAACCTCTTGACGGTGTTACGCTCGTCCTACTACGACGAAGAAAGAACGAATAGTTGGATAGTTACGGGATCCGTCGTCGCACGCGGCTGTGTATAATCTTAAAAAAGTATGTACGCGAGTAGCGTGTTTTCTCGTATTTGGCACAGACGTTGCGAAGAATACGCCGGGTACGAGGTATATTAGGATCGATCCAGAATAAATATGTGGCTCCAAATGTTTACTGAACGTTCACCAAAGTCGAGACTTAATTTTTGCGGAGAGAGATTTTGCATTGTTGCTAATTTCGTCGAAATCTGTTTCTTTTTTCATAGCACATTTTAAGACACTTTTATCAAACGAAAAAATAAGCTCCCTATTTTCTGATTTTTTTATCATAAATTTGTAATACACATTGTATTACAAAATTAACCGAATCTTATTGTTAGATTGATAAAAATATTAGTAATTATGTATATAAAATGTTATTAATACTCTGTTTCGCTATTCAAAAATATTCAATTTTTAAAAAAATTTAGATTAAAATATATTTAAAAATATTTTATTGTATATTGATAAATATCTCTTGTTAATTATTATTTCATCTTGATTGAATAAATTCTTATTATAAATCATTCAATTTAATTGTTAAAATATATTCTAACACAAATATGCGAGAGAAAATTTTTCCCGAGGAATAATAGATCAATCTTTTCTTACTAATTAATTTCTCTCCGTAATGATTTTCCCGCGATTATAAATACAACCCTGATCGCGCAGGAAATTTCATGATGGGTGCATTCAGTAGAAGTGTAATTTTATTTTTCAACAAAGAAAAATAAATGCGATTTGCTCGCTAAATAATCTGTTATCAAATTTACTCTCCAATGTTTGGGCTTTACAGGATGCGATAAAATATTGGTATTGAAAATTTAGACGTTCTTTAACATCTTGCAACCGAAGTCGAGAAAACAGGACCGAAAGACCAAGGGCAAGACGCGTTTCCGATGCTCTTTGCGACATCACCGAGTACAACCTGTCTGCCTTGCAGGGCACATCGAATATGCCGCGTGATGCGAAATTTAACGAACTGTACGACAACGCCCAGATTTGCGTTGTATTTCTTCTCTATTTTTTTTCCTCCTTTTCTTCCTATTCGGACGTTGACGTTTTGCTATGCGTTCGCGCGTGTCGATAGGTTTCCTCGCGCCGTCTTAACGATTATTAATATTATCGTTTATTCATAGTTGATTAGTGTGGTATTATTACGCGTGTCCCGCGCTAAAATTCCTACGCTGTATTCTACTTTCCAAGAGACGTAATGCGCCCGCGTACGACGGAGTCTTCGTCGCTCAAGAATAAATCTTTCTCTTCTTCTTTCTCTGGATGCTTCTGCGATGTTTGCCGGTTTGCTCAGGTTTCTCCGCCAGCGATTCGGTCCCTTTAATTTTTTAGCAATTCCTCATCTCGAATCCTTCCGCTCTCCGTTTCTTCTCCCATTCGTCTCATTTGATTGCAACCGCCTTGACTATCATTCCGCCCAGGATCAAGAACCACGCTAGTCAGTGGTCGTGTTAACTCGCTGGCGCAATTTCAGTGGCCTTGACGGTCGCGCAGCCGATCAGCAAGCGGCTTCTCGGTCACAGAATGTCCGTCTCATAGACTTTGCTGGTGGTCGTGGTGACGTTGGTGATTGGGCCCAAGTTCCCCGAGCTCGATACGATCGTCGTCGAAGTGGTGACGCCGGCGGGGATCTGGCCGTTGGTCGTCATCGTCGCGGAGGTTATTGGAACGGATGTTTGTCCGTTGACGACGTCTATCTTGGTTACCTGATTCCCGTCGGCAATGACAGCCTCCTGCGGCGGCACTTGGGGCTTGACACTAAGACTGGTGAGAGATCCGGAACTTGCGGCGCTCAGACCAAGGCCCATCTTCGCCAGAAGGTTACTCTCGGAACCGGTTTTCTTCAGCAAATCGGGCGGCGCCGGCGGCACGGTAGTGAGTCCGGCTGCGTTCCTCTGCAGCTGCTGCAACCGCGCGTATTGTTCCTGCAGCGCCTTCTGCTTCTTCAGGAGCTCTTGATGCCGCTGTTCCAGCTGCTCCTGCCGGCCGCGTTTGCTCTGCAGTCCCTCTTGCGAATTGACGCTCTCGCATGAGCTCGAGTTGCTAGTCGACAGCACTGCGGACGACTGCGAGGACGAGGAGTTATGCGGCACGATGGCCGCGCCCGACGGCGCGGTTGTCGCCTGCTGGTCCACGGTGGACAGGATCGCCGTGGCGTCCGGTGGCAATGCCATGGGCAGTTTACCCTCTTTGCCGACGACGTTGCTGTTACTAATGACGCGCGTCGCCGGTCGGCGCAAGGTCGCGTTGCCGCTCTGCAGACTGCACGGATGGTTTCTAGGTGGCAGCTGCGGACTGGTCGGACTTGCCAAAGGCGATCGGGAGCTGGTGCGCGGCGGCGGCGGCGGCGGCACTCGCCTGGCGCTGGCCAGCTGCAGCAGTTCGGCGTTCCGTTCTGGCACCGGCGGCTTCTGCCCGGGCAAAAAGCCCTGAGGCAGCATCGGCATGCCCGGTTGCTGCTGCGGTTGTTGTTGATCCTGCAGTGAGAGCGCCTGTAGCCTGGCGATCGGCGGCGAGGTGTCGGTGTCCGAGCTCGACGGATACGAGTGCAGGCGACGAAGAGTGCCGCTAGCGCCCGGTGCCATCCCGGGAAGGGCGGGGGGTGCCATGAGGGCACCGCTGGACGAGTCCACGCTGCCCTTGCGACCGATGTCGCTGATGCTGGGCGCGCGAATGCCGCTCCCACTGCCGGTCGCCAAGATGGTCGTCGACTCTCGCAGGCTGGAGGCGCGGCCTATGTCAGCCAGAAGCGCGTTGCCGCTCGGATGATGGACCGACAGTCCTCCGGACACGTGACCCATCTGCGAACTTGGACGAGAAAAGGTCTGCAGCTCGTCTAGCAGAGCGTCGAGTGCGTTCTCCGGACGCTGCTGATGGTCGGCGGATGACTCGTGAGGGTGGCCCCCTCCCCCGAGGATGCCCGCTGACCCCACGACAGTGCGTTCCGCTGGCACAGGGGCAGCTGCCTGTTTTGTTCAAACAACACGGAATCAACAGTGGGCCCGAGACTCGTCGCGCCAGTGTCTTCCGCGAGGACACACTTTCAACTTGGTCTTTTGTCGAGCTGGCGCGACATATCTCGGGGAGATCGTGCTTTTTCTCTCGTCCGCTCTCGTGAGAGAGCCGTCAGAAGGAGCATCCTGTGTACGTGTGTATGTATATTTGTGCGATTGTGGACTCGCTGCTGGTCGCGAGTTGTCGATGCGACACATTATATGAGTTGCACAGTGATACATATAAAGATACTTACGTATGCGGATATGATAAATATACAGACATATAGAGATGTACAAGTGTAAAACAATTAAAGTTTCCGCAAATTGCACATCGAGTATGTACACTTGATCATACGTACAGAGACACATTTTTACATCTGACTTTTGCTTCGTACAGACAAACAGTCGCGGTTGTGGTATATTATTGTATAATATATTATTGTATTCTTTTGTTTGGTGTGTTGCGGATGCTTCTTCTGACAACAAAAGCGTTGGTCGTAGAAAGTGGCGTTTCGATGTGGAAAATCGAATAATGAGATTGCAGGAGGAATGAATGCGAAAGAAAAATTATATTCGATACAGATCGTACAAGATTCGATATCCACGGCACTGCTTTATGATTCGTTATCACATCATTGCACTGTCTATCACGCATAAAATTGTTTCATTTTTCTAATTATTATTTTATTGGAGTATTTCAGATGCGATAGAAATTTTTCTAAATATATCTCAAGTGTCTTTTATAACAATTTAATAATTAATGCTTGCAATAGAAATTTTATTGCATATTTCTTTTAAATTTACAGGATGACGTATTTCTAATTAAATTTTATATTTTGCAGTTTGTATTTTGTATCAGTATGCATCCTATTATCTAAAATAATTATAACTGATAAAATTGCATCCACATAAGAAAGAAATAAGTTTTTCAGAATATATATCGAGTTTTTGATAATTGTAAAATATCGGTTAATTTTGTATTGGATCAGTTATTTTTTTCATATTACAAATATTTTCTGCTTTGTAAAAAAATAAATAAAAATTTTTATAAAATTTTATCTTAATTGTTATCCGCAAACGCATGATAATGATACGCGATATATAAGCCTCGAGTATGAAAAACCTTCGTTTGTATTGCTTTGCAATGATGATATTTAAATAACAAAATTTGATTTGATATTTTATAAGCGCCATAAATTCAATGAAAACAATTGTTGTTAAATCACGCGCAAACATTTTAACACGAAGACGTACTTCGACACGCCACGATCGTACGAACGGATGATCGCGAGTCGAATTTCGTCTTTTTCTTTTCTATGTCATGCGTGCGTAATGTGTGCGAATAATGTACATGCATAATAATGATGAAAAAAGATGTGATAGAAGAGAGAGCATGAGACGACAAGATGATACAGAAATGCAGAATGTGTACGATGAACGAAGAAAGTAAAGTGAAAGAGAAGAGGCATGAAATGGGCAACAGAGATAAAGAAACAGAGAGAAAGATACAAAAAGAGAGAGCGCTATGATGAGTCGTGAATCGCAATATAAATGTGAACTAAGAAAAGCACACAATCGTAAGACAATAATATGATTAATTCCGTTAGATAATTACCTGCGGATCGGTTATACGTTTATTGTGCGTGCGTTGTGCGTGTTACAAGTCAGTACTCGTTTGGGGCTCTTTTACATTTGGCATCGATTGCTGTCCGGTATTAGTCAACTTAAAAAAAAAAACAGAGAAACCAAAAATCAAAAATCTGAAGTCAGAACTCATATTGTCGACCGCGCACGGTAAAAAAAAAGAAACGCAATTCGTCGCTCTTCGATTTATCGTAAAAATGGTCGCGAGCGTTCGCACGTGAACGCGCGGTAAATCAAGATAAATCGCGAAAGCGTGTAAAAGTTCAAAATATATTTAAAAAAGGTTTAAAAGGGTATTTTTTAAGCATCCTTAAGTTTTTCAATATTACAACGCGGGATTCCTCCTTGAACAAATTAATAATTGCTATAAAATTATAAAAAATAATTTATTAGATTAATTCAGCGATTGGAAAAATTATAATTACTCTGTCTGATTATACACTACGCGTCAAAATTAAGGGATAGAAAATTTCGGGTTGATTTTTGGGTGTTTTTTGAGCGGCCGTATCTCTGCGAAAAATGGACGAAAAAAATCTTTAAAAAAAGCTTTTTGAAGCTTGAATTTTCTAGTTTCTGAATTTTCGCAAAAAACTCCCGTATCATCATTTTTAACTGAGTTATTCTCCATTGAACGGACCAATCCGGAAATGAAAAAATTTCCCCAAATTGGGCAACGTGCATGGACCAGAAAAATTTTTTTTGTCAAAAACCGATTCCACGACGTTAAAGCTCATACAATTCTCAACAATTTGCTTTTTTAATGAATGCTGTGCGATTTTTTTTTGACCGAGTTATTGGCAGTTAAAGCAAAATTCGTGCTTTCAACTTGAACATCCGTAGCTCCGAAACAAATTGTCGTACGGCATTCACCATGGGCTTTTTGGAAAGTTCAAAGTCTCCCCTATAAGACGCTCTTTTCAGAATTTCGATCTGACATTTTTTTTATTTTGATATATCGACTGTAAAAACGTGTTAAAAATCGCGTTTTTCTCTTTTATCATTCACCTGGGCGCCACTTCGTGAAAAATGATTGAAACCCCTGAGTGTCCACGTTTTTTTTTAGTTATAGGTATGCCTAGTAACCACGCAAAATCCCGAGAGCGCTGGATTTTTCTTTCCTAGTGTTTTGAAGCTCGTAAGTTACGTTAACGTACGAAAATGACTAAAAATTCTTTATTTCGCCCCAAAAATGCCAATAACACAAAAATTCGAAACATTTTCCATCTGATCATTGATCCTTGCTTGGTTATTTCCACAATAACAAGTCAAATTTCCGATATGATTCTCAATACAATAACACGGCAAATTACCGTCGGCATTAGCGTTACCCAAAGCATACCACGAGGAGGTTGCTGACTGGATTTACGCTTCGCGCGCGCGCGTTTTACTTTAACCGCCAATAACTCGGTCAAAAAAAATCGCACAGCATTCACTAAAAAAGCAAATTGTTGAGAATTGTATGAGCTTTAACGTCGTGGAATCGGTTTTTGACAAAAAAAATTTTTTCTGGTCCATGCACGTTGCCCAATTTGGGGAAATTTTTTCATTTCGGATTGGTCCGTTCAATGGAGGATAACTCAGTTAAAAATGATGATACGGGAGTTTTTTGCGAAAATTCAGAAACTAGAAAATTCAAGCTTCAAAAAGCTTTTTTTAAAGATTTTTTTCGTCTATTTTTTGCGGAGATACAGCCGCTCAAAAAACACCCAAAAATCGACCCAAAATTTTCTATCCCTTAATTTTGAGTAGTATATTTATTAAAAAATGTTGGATCTTTTACCTCACGCTGACGTGATTACTTAGACTGACCGTGCGCTTTGTGCGCAATTCACCTGTCGTCCGTGATCGACTAACTCGAAAAAGCTGGAAACGCATCGCTCGGGCATCGACTCATTGTCTATTTCAAAATAAATTTTGAACCAAATTTTCACTGATTGAATGGAAAGCGGTGGAAAGTAATCACAAGTGGATTACAAGTTAAATGAAATTCATAACTATCTCGAATACGCAATCTATTATGATATTAAAACACGTTTCGCGTACGAAAAAAATAAATGCTCCGAAATAACGTGACGCTCGTGAAATTTAAATACGGAAAAGTAATCGTTACATTTTTTTCGAGCAAATAAATTGCGATAGCGAAAACGAAGATAAGAATTTATACAGAGTTTAGTAATTGGAGCATTCAGTGAACGTGGCAATGTCCTTTATTAAAAATTTTGAAATAATTATTTTTAATTGGAAATTAATTCCAGGATTATCTTTTTTTAGATTTTGAGCATTCAAACTTTTGTTAAAACAACGAGGTCCTTCATTAGTCATACTCTTTTTGTGAAGTCATCTAAATTTTCGCCCGAAGAGCATTGCCGAGTGGACCAAATGCGTATAATCACCCTATATATACATATAAATATTGTTTTCTTTTTGTTAAAAAATGAAGTAAAACGCATCAATGAAAATTGTTGTGCCCATGCCGATAATCGAGGTGCACACATGTAGATCCCAAATTATATAAAAAGAAGCTGAAAATCGTTTTTTCTTACCGATTCGCTGTTTACGAATTATTGCACGAGTACGCTCGTCGATGCCCGCACAAATGACTCCAACCTTCCGTTTCGAAGCAACGGAAAATTTACGCAGAATATAAAGCATGCGTTCCGATGATGCAAATAAAAAAAGTATAAAATAATAAAGACGTTTTCTCCCATGCGCAACTACATGCGTGTAACACGTATATATTCAATATATACATACATGTGTAACGTATATACACACATGCTGACACATGCCACAAGTACGTACATAGAACACGTCTCATAATTAATATTCGACTAGTCGTGAAACAAAATCAAAACCATATAGGGTGTTATATATACATAAATACAGAAAAATATCGGCCAATCAAAAAATACACAGAAAGAACCTTCAGTCCAATCCTTATAGTAAGGCAATATAGTAACGGACTCAGACTCATATAGATAAATAGATAGATAGATAGATAGATAGATAGAAAGATAGATAGATAAATAGATAGATAAAGAGAGAGAGAGAGAGAGAGAGAGAGAGAGAGAGAGAGAAG